CAAAAACGGCAAATATCATTGGGAAGTGTCGAGTTTGGTAGGTTGGTCTGGTCTGGTTAAGTAAAGATGAATGGTTACTGCACTCTAACAGTGTGGAGTTGAAGGAGAAGAAAAGTAAATAGTGGAGGAGCCGACAAGGACTTGAATTTGACACTGGTCACCTGTCCTCTCGTACGTAAAGGGATTATACAACAAATTTATCATTTATCAGATCCATTTGATTTGTTGGGAAAGCATATTACCAGAATTGTCCTGATACACTTGTTGGATCCAAAGGCGATGTAAGAATTGAAATTAATGAACAGTATAAATTATGTACGATCATAACGAAAAAAACAAGATTAAAGTAAAGAAAATGAAAAGAGATTAGCAGAGGAACTGATTTTTATTAAGAGGGTGTTTAATAGCCATTTTTATGTAAAATGTATTTTAGAATAGTAATTTGATAGAAAATGTGTGGTTGAAAAATAAAGAAAAGTTTTTGAGTTACGTGTAATATTATTTTAATAAAGAATATATAGTTGAAAAAAAAAAAAGAGAAAAATGCATTTTGAAAAAAATGGGTACCAAATAGGGACTAAATATAATGTGAAGAAAATACAAAAATTCAGTCATAAAGCTTCACCTAAACTGAATGAAGAGTCACATATTTATAAGAACATACCAAACCCTAAAATGGTGGCAAAGCGGAATCACTAACGCTTTCTCTAGCAGTGTTCTGAATCAACTCAGAGTCCATCACAAGAAGTACTGTACCAAATTGAATTTTCACCATGGTACAAAACTTGTTCACATGTCTTCTAACTGGTTCTGCACACCCCTGCAAGATGTACAATTGAGACTTTTTTCGTCCCTTTAGTACAACCCGGACATCTCTTCGGATCTTCAAGACTGCACCTTCACCTGAGAACTTATACCCTTTTAAATCCAGAGTACTCAACGAGATGAGATTTTTCTTCAAATCTGAAACATGTCGAACCTGGCTAGGTATTCTGACTATCTCATCTTGCAACCTCAATCTGACCCGATCGATTCCAGCAACCCGATAAGATTGGTTGTTTCCCATGACAACTCCACCGTGCTTAACCTCCTCATATGCCTCAAACAAGTCCCGATTGGAACACATATGGAACGCACATGCTGAATTCAGAATTCACTCCTCGTCAGGCTTAGACTCCATGTCAAAAACAACCAATACCACATTTTCGCCATTCGAAAAATCCTCAACGACATTGTTCTTGTTTGGAGTGGGTGATTGTCTCCCATTATCTTGCAACTAAATTACCTTTAGCTTGCATTTTTTTGCAATCTTTCTTAAGGCATCATTTCCTCCTACAGTAGAAGCAATACAAATTGTTGAAGTTCGTCCGCGATCTACTCCTCCATCGATTATTATGAGATACTAGAGCATCCTCATCCCTAGATGTAGCTCCAACCAGACGCTTCATCTTTTCCTTTGAAAATAAAGCATCGTAAGCGTCTTCAATGGTAAGCGTGTTAAGATTGTAAAATTTCGTGTCTTAGAACGACGAGTATGAAGGGAAAGTGAGTACAACAGGGTCAAGGCCAAATCCTCCTCATCATATTTGACCTCCAATGTTGCCAAATTCGTGACGATTTTCATGAACATAACTAGGTGATCTTGTAGCGATCATCCTTCCGCCATGCTATGGGAATACAGCCTTTTTTTATATGCAGTTTGCTCGTAAGACTTTTAGTCATGCACAACTGCTCCAGTTTTAACGAAAAAGTAGTCGTCGTTTTCTCCTTCAATACGTCCTGCAGAATGTTATTGAAAAGATGAAGATAAATCTACTATAAAGCCTTAATGTCTTTCCATTGTTTCTCCTCCATTGTCCAATTTCCTGGCATTTTATCAAAACCCAGCAAAGTATCGTTTAAATCCATCTACGCCAACACAGTCCTCATTTTTACTTGCCACAGGAAAATATTGCGATCCAGCAGCGGAATATCATACCTCAATATAACAATCTTTGAAAAATCTCAATTAAATCACGCAAAACCTGCAACCTAGCTCTGATACCACTTTTTGGGAATAATCAAGTTAGCAGAATTGCTCTGATACCACTTGTTGGACCTGAAGGCGATGCAAGAATTGAGATTAATGAATAATATGAAATATGTATAATCACAATGAAGAAAATAAGATTAAAGTAAAGAAATTGAAAAAAGATTAGCAAATGAATCGATGTTTTATTAAAGACAATATTTTCCAAAAAATCTATCCTAATTTGGGTCACAAAATCTAACATGTTTATCTAACCCAAGTGCCTTCATGGTATTTCCCAGTCCCCACCGTAGTCTTTAATGTTCTTGTCAACAATCCAACTCCTATTTGCTAGCAAATCTTTAAGATTTTTTTTTTTAAAAAAAATTATTTTTATTCATACAATTTTCAGTAGATTAATTTTACACATAAGTTCATAATTTTTTTCTACTTTTCAATCACAAATTCTTTGAAAATCTATTTTTCACAAAATTTATACCTAAAAAAATTAGACTTGAACATAAGTTTGTTGTCAATATGAGATGTCACTTCAAGCTACAGTGTGTGTCAGAAGGATTAGAATTATGCTCATTAATTACGAAAAATGTATAGGAATTTTTATATATGTACAGGTAACAATACTGTATTGACTAGTCGCCTTGTATATTTTGTTCAACTGTCAATTAAATCTTGACAATTGGGATTATATTGGCAATACATGCATGTTCAAAGCTAAAGTTTTTGTACAAAACAATTTTGGCTCCACAGATTTGCAGGTTGTTGTATGGTACTTCCTCTGAGGTCCATGCATTCTTCCTCCCAAAGCAGCCACTACTTTGAATTAGCTACGAGGACGGTAGTGCCTAAAAACTGCTTCATTTACGGTTTTCTTACTCCCATTTTTTTCCCCCTTCCATATTGAAGAAAGATTTCATTCAATCAAGTCATCCAAAATAATAGGCGAATATAAATTATCTAATGAATTATATGCATATCTAAACTAGCATGGGATGCAAGAATATGTGTCATTCTATTTCGATCCCTGAAAATAAATAGACACGAATCACACCTAGAACAAAAGTGAGTTTTAACTGATTTTAAGTATCATTTTAAGCTGGGTCCAATATGTGCTAAACCCTTTTCAAATATGCATTGTCCTTGAGAAATCATTTCATAACAAATTGCTGAGAAATTAATGTAAGGAAGAGCCCTTAGGAATTCTATGAATTATTTGAAAAAAGTGCAATGTAAAGGGTATATGTTACATCTATGAATACCCTACAATTCTCCACTAGCCAAAGCAAAGCAGGCACCATATGCACAAAAAGGAAAAAGCTGATTTATTTTCAGGATGTTAAGCCTATAATATTTAGGTTTGTATAGAAGTAAGGACATGCTTATATATCCTACATTTTGAACCAAATATACTCTCTACTATCTTTTTATCCACTAACTGTTTGCCTACCAGAAACGCTACAACACAACTTGTTCCTGATTCTTTTAGATTAGGTATGAAACATACCCACACTTGTATGTGTAAAGAGATTGATTTGAAAAGAAAAAATCGGTGCAAAATAGCATATGTAATTTAGCCCCGGTTTGGCCCCCTTTACTTTTCACCTTTACTTTTCATTACATTCCATTTCATTTTTCTCTCTCTTCTTTTCAACCACACAATCTTCCATAAAGTAATATTATACGAAAATCGAAAATTTTTCTTTCTTTTTTCAACCACTCATTTAAAAAAAAAAAAAAAAAAAAAAAAACAAAAAAAAAAAAAAAAAAAAAAAAAAAAAAAAAAAAAAAAATTTCAATCATTTAATTTTTCTACAAAATGAGGGTCAAACGGGGGCTTAATCATATTAAAAATAGTCTTCTTCTTCATGAGTCAGCCCTCTTTATTCCACAACTAGATAGCAAGTGAGCTAAATTTTCAAACTTATATCGCGCATTGATTGAAGCAATCAAGTTTCTTCAGTTGTCACGATCAAGATATGTAGAAGTAGAAAAAATGTAACAAAAAATTGGAGGATAAAAAAAAAAAAAAGCAACATTTAAGGACTTTAATTATAATTAAAATGTGGTGCAATTAATAAAAATTGTAGTATGAATATAATACCCTATGTAGAATAATTAACAGTAGTAAAATTAGACATCTAATTTAAATTTTGAATGTAATTGTTATTTAGATGAATTAAAACTATTCACAACTTATAACTATATATAAATTAAATAACAACCAAACAATTAGGACAACCAAATAACAGCTTATACCAACAATCAGATTGTTGAAATTTAAATCCAACAAAACCATGGATTTAAGAAGACCTCAGTAATTCCATTCAATTTCTCTCTCTTAGTATACACAATAATTTATTGTTGCTAAAATTAATTTCTATGTTCTATGCGATCACAGTAACTTTCTAATCATTTTCAGCTTTAACTTTATTAATACATTAACACAGTCATTTACTGAAATAATTTTTGCATTTATTTAATCCTACAAAAGAGTGACTGAATAGGCTTATACATAAAGAGATATTATAACAAGATTTAAATTTCATTTAGTTTTTAGACATTCTCAATCATTCAATGATTTACAAAAATGCTGGATTGCTTTCGTTAGGGCATTTTGATTAGATTTTTTTTGGAGAACAGATTTTGATAAAAGCAATTAATTTTTTTTTAGAATATATGGTTAAAAGATAGGTATAAATTATGAATTTACAAGTAAAATTATTTTATTGGAAGGACATGTGATAATAATAAATTCAATTTTTTTTTTTTTTTTTTAAATCTTTACCAAATGGGAGCCTAATAACTTTGCCAATCCCCATGCTTCACGGACCTTTGTTCCTAGCATGTCCACTGACTTTAAAGTTCGTTTGTTTAAATTACTAGAAAGCTGTACAAATTGTTGGCAAAGTTGTTACATTATAATGAGAATTATTCTAGGAGTAATCAAGCATTCTAAAAAGAAAAGGCATCATGATACTTGAAACCCAAAAAGGAGTAATTAATTTACAAGAAAATAGCCCAAGCTGAGGTTGCGTTTCATCATATATTTCCCTACGTTGCCAAGAAAATCCTGCAAGATAAAGCAAAATCTGCCTCTTAAAATTGAGATATTCTTAGAAAAGGAATTTATTGTATATATTCGTCATCTTGTTCAATTTCTGATGCAGGTTCGTCTTCTTCTTCAACACCATCAATGCCAAAAGCTCCATGACCAAGTCCAAATGCTTTAATATGATCTTTCAAGGATCTTTTGTGCTTAAAATCAGAACCACAAATACAGTACCAAAGTTTACCACAATTTTTCTCATGGGTTCTCCAATCTCCTCTCACTGCAAAAGCTTTGTCACATTTTCTACACATGAAAGGCTTGATTCCATGCTTCCTCTTGTAATGTGTTTGAAGGGTTCTGAAATCTTTTAAGGGTTTTGCTCTTGGATGATCAATGTGGTTTTTGCAGCCAGGTGCACAGCAATAACAAGGGAGTTTGAGCATTCCTGTTGGTTGAGTTCCTCTTAGAGATTCAGGCCCTTTTCTATACTGCGATCCATGCCCCCACATGTGCATCTGCACCAAAAAAAAATCCAAAAATTCTTAGATATAACGTACGGTAGCTCATTTATACATGGAAATTATGTACATATAGGACATTTGATTAATAAAAAATATTAGTCCGGTCCTGAGGAGACACATTGAAGATAAAATTAAATAAACTAACGAAGTTGTTCCCTTTCAACCGTTTAAGCTTTATAACAGTTCTTCCCTTTCTACTCTCGAAGAATCACAGGTACTTACGATCCAAACTATTCAGCCCACAGAAAAACAAAGGGAACAAAGAAAATAAGTAGAAAGATCGAAGATGTAATTATGTGAATTCTGTAGGACCATTGAGAAAAGAGCATAATTCTTCATGTAGAATACTGAATGCATTTCTTGAAAAAGATTAGGCGTCCAACAAAGAATCGTACTGATCGCCAAAATTGTGATTAATTTCTTTCGAATAGTGAGTATAATTAAGCACTTAAGATAGATACCATTATTAGACTCTTTATTTCTTTTCCAAAAATCTAAAACTGGAAGAAAAAGAGACAAGTTTCAAAGTTATAAAGACCTGAAAATTTTAGGTATGGACTTTTCAAGTCGGTAAATTGTATCTGTTTGCAGGATGAAAGTTGACAAACTTATTGGAAGTTCTTGTCTGGGTCTCTGATAACTGTTGAAGTTTCAGTGATTTTACAGAGTTAACCAGTTGTAAGGCACAGACTTCAAAGAGGACTAAAAGCATAAGGAATATTGCTTGAGTTCAATCAAATATATCAATCAAACATTTCTGATCGATTATCAGACTGAAGAATTGAAGCCTCCCAGTACCCATGCTATATACCAGTATTGAACTCAAATCAAAAACAATGAACTTTTACGGGACATTCGGTACAAGAAAAAGAAGTTATATCCCTCTCTTGTTTTGGTGTCTAATGCTCTTAGAACTTTTAGTAATCCCATAACTGCAATCTTGGAATCTTCTAAGGTCAAGTGAAATCAAAGACATGAAAAATATGCACCATATGTATATATTTGCGGAACTCACTTGCATGTTGTTGTATCTGTTGAACGTCTTGAAGCAAACAGGACATGAAAACTGTGTTGGACCTATAAGAATCTGAGAAGGGGTAGGGATCCAGTACTGTCCCTTATTGAGTCTATTGATGGGGTACCTTGAAACATCAGCTTCTTCATCTTTAGCACTTGTTTCAGAGAGAATAGATGCCAGATCAGCAGCACTAGGGTTTGGTAACCCTATGTGCAGTGCAACAGTAACATCTTCATTATCAGCAGTAACCCTATCTTCAGTCCCTTTGATTTTGTAAATATCCATGTCTAAAATCCAAGATGGTTCTTGTTTTTCTTCATTATTTCTTGTAGTTATGGGACTTGAACTCAGAAGGGGAAGAGCTTCCCTCACTGGAGACGGAGGTGGGGTTTGAGTACTGTGTAATGAATTGTCGTGAATATAGGGAGTCATCAGGTGATGAGGACTTTTAGTGGAAAAATGGTGTGAAGGGTTGAATTTGTACCAGTCTGTGTAGAATTTTGAGCAGGGATTACCAGTCATATTGAAAAGGTGAGAGGAGAAAATAATGGGCTAGATGATCTTGCCTTTATAGAGAGAGAAGATGAGCGTGGATAGTGGTAAAGAAAGGCAAAGCAAAAGCATAGTGACAGCCAACAAATATTTAAGTAGAAGAAAGATAAAAATTTATTCAACCCCTTTTAGTAACGTTAAAATATCTTATTAAAATCTAAATAAAAGTTAAAAATTCTATTTTATAATGTATTTTATAAGACCCATAACTTTTTAAGAGCACATTCTATTCTATGAACTTTTATCAAAATTTATTAAAAAGATGTTTTTAATCTTTACAAACTGGGGCCCAATGTTTAGTCATATATTCCTTCCAATTTGAATTATGAGAGATTTTCTTTCTTAACGTTGTCTTGTCCACAAAATGTATGAATGCAAACGAGTGTGTTCTAGTAATATTTCTTTTTATTACATTAAAGGTGCGATAGAAGTAAATTTAATCCATTAAATAGAGGAGTACAATTTAAAAGTAAAAGAACGTTTAACCTAATTATACTCGTAATTGTCCACCTAGTGTACTCTTTCTCCAATGAGATAGTTTATTATATTGGCCTTTTGCAACATCAAAAAGGCAACATTCGTGAATTAAGTGTTGCTAAAGGGGTTTATCGCAATGTTTTATTAAGTAAATGTTGCCATTGATTAATTTAATTGAGCTTTGGAAACGTTTTTAATTGCATGCTGTCAATATTATCGTTTGCAATGTTTCTTAAATGTTGCGAAAAAGTTTAATTTTTTTGCAACATTTAATAAATGTTATTAAAACCTAGTTCTATAGCAACGTTCAATACCTATTACTAAAACTTTTAATATATAGTCTTTTGCAAGCTGTTGCATAAGTCATTCTTTGAATGTTGTGAAAAGTTTTATTTTTTGCAACGTTTAATAAATGCTGTTAAAACTTGGTTCTATAGCAACGTTCAATGCTTGTTGCTAAACTCTTAATATATAGTCTTTTACAACGTTTATTGACTATTCACTTTTTGCAACATTTTTTGAATGTTGTGAAAAGTTTCATTTTTTGCAATGTTTAATTAATTTTGTTAAAACCTAATTCT